AGACAAAGCTGTACAGCAGGCCTGGCTCAAATGTTTCAAAACCACCATTAGCCTGCCATTAGCTTTAGCTAAGCTTGTGCTCATGATGCTAAATATTTAGGAAGGAATCATTGAAATACACTCTCAACAAGAAATGTGATTTCCTAACACACAACAAGCAAAGGCAGACGCTACAAGGCTCTGGTTTTGTGTTCCGACCATCCTGGCACAGAACAATGTCTGTCATGGTAATGATATCACTAACTTTGTTACCTTAAAGCAGCTGCTTTCCTAATTGTAATCCCATTAAAAAAATCCACATTACAGCCATACAGCAATAATTTAAATAATTTAAGGGGGAAGGCTTAAGTGAAACTGTCCAGAGCAAAACCAGACCTAAAACAAAAGTATCATCTAGACTACAAAGAGCACAATACAAGCAGCACGGTATGAGCAATCAGCCTGGAAGGGAGCACACCGAAGGGTGGGCTGGCGTGATGATTTTTGCTGAAATGAATGGGAGAGACCTGGGTTAAGCCTCAAAGCTTGAAATCTCACCCTGGGACTGGGGTTTGTTGGAAGTATGAAGGGTCTGCTGCATCATCCTCATTTCATGATGTAAATGGCACAAAAGGAGGTCTCTGAAGAAATTCAGCATTACAGAGATGCCATGCTGCAGGGTGGTAAGTAAATCATAAGCAAGAGGGTGGAAAAAACAGGGCTTTGGAACAGTGTGGTCTGGGCATAAAGGTCATCCACAGCAAAACACAGTGCTTAGTTAAAGTCTGGAAAGCACTGAGAAAACGTGTCAAAGCAAGTTACAAACTCCTGCCTGAATCTCCTAAGACACAATCGCTTAAGTCCCTAATCACACAAGCAGTCTTAACAATTTCAGTGAATAACTGGAATGGATTTAATCTTGCATCTTCAGATGCAGATGTTAAATAAGCTACAAGAAATGACTGTCCATCAGTCACCGAATAAGAAAGTACAATTAAAGTCTAACTAATGTATTCAGAAGCAAAAAGCCAACACAACAGCTGAAGGAGGCACATGGAGCAAGTATTGATAGCCACGCCAGGGGAAGGGAGCACAATCAGGCATGGCTGAGGCCAACACTGCTCCGGCAGCCCTGCAAAACCAGGACTTCATGGCAGAGGTTTGCTCAGTACAGTACAGACATTAGGAAAATTTTTTTCAATGAAAGTGTTGTCAAGCATTGGAACGGGCTGCCCAGGGAAGTGGTCGAGTCTCCATCCCTGGAGGTATTTAAAAGCCGGGCAGACAAGGTGCTTAGGGACATGGTTTTAGTAGTGGGATGGCAGGGTTAGGTTAATGGTTGGACTATATGGTCTGAAAGGTCTTTTCCAACCTAAACGATTCTATGATTCTACATGGTTTGGGAAAAGAAACTGCATAGCAGAGTCAGGCATCTTCCTGCTTCCAGGCTTCCCCAAACCATGCTCATCAGCTCCTTACTCTATTTTCTCCCTTTCTCTGCTCTTGTCCTTCTATTTAGCTGATCGCTCCTGTCTAGCCTCCCAAGGAAAAGACAGTATCTGTGGGCCACTGCAACGATTGCTTTGCCTACCCTTACATACCTGACGGAGAGCTCTTATGGCCAGGACTGACTCACATGCTGTCCCCCTGACACACCGGGCTCTGGTCCTAGGTTGGCCGTTACGACATCCTTGCGACAAGCATAATACCTACCTTATTCTTCCCCACACTTCTGCCTCTGGCACAACTGATATGAAGAAATTTGTTTTCCCAGTGCAGAACTGGAGTAGCAGGCTCGACTTTGAACAAACTATTCAGAAGCATGGCAGCTTCATTTCCCACACAAAAGCCAACAATACTGTCTGAAAATAGCTGTACTTCCAGGTAAGCCTTCACAACACAACTATAATATGCTCTTTTCACCTTGGAAAAGAAGAGAAAGCTTCACCTAACAGAGCACTAGAAAGGACCAAGCTGATGAAGGTGGAGAGCAGATTTGTAGAGACTTATATTGGCAAATTGTGCTCTTGCCAGGAAAGTACTTTTCCATAAAAATGATGAACATTTGCTAACTGTGTTCGTAAACACTGCACAGCTGTGCTACAACAGGAAAGCAAGCCCAACACTTCTATAATTTGATAAGAGGTTTCTCTAGTGATTCACCAAAAATAATTAATCAAAATAAAAACATGGCCAAAATTAGCACTACTAGCTGTTTGTGAGCAGGAACTAAAGCAAACATATCAACTAAAGCAAATAGAAGTCACTGTCCAGTCAGACACACGCGCACAAGAACTCTGTAGACTTTTCTACCTCGCATTCTGAGAGATTATATTGCAAAAAGCATTTCCATACAACCACAAAAAATAATTTTTCAGCACAGTGTATGATACAAGTCCGTGGTGATCAGAGGGAAAACCTGTGCAGATGGGACGTTTCTGGCATTTGTAGTGACAATGATGTTTTTCAACCATTATTTCCTCAACCCACAGGTGTTTCTCTGTCTTGTCTAACAACAGCTAAAAGATACGAAACAAAAGCCAGTGACCTTTTTCTGTACATCCACTGAAAACTGCTTATTGCCAGCTAGCAAGACTATGCAGAGCAGCCTTTCTATCCATTCTCAGCATCAAGAGCTCCCAGTGGACAGCCCCTTAGGACAGCAAGATCCACTCTATATGGGGAAAAGGAGCTAAAATTACTCTAAAGCCTCCCAGTAAAATCTTAGGCATTTGGAAAGAGCTAATAGAAATATTTCAGAGATCTGGAGTAAACAGCAGTTTCTTCATTGACCTCTATGTGTTCAAGATTTTATTCTCAATGTGGTTTGTATTGTCTCAGCTTAAACAATGAACACAGCAGGTTTTATGTCCGAGAAGTTCAGGCAGATTTGTAGGAAGGAAACATTTGGCACCTGAAACTTTCCACAGTCTATAAAAATGGATTACTGAGCTTTTGTGAACAAGGAGAGAGTGTTGTCATTTCTATCTTACTGCAGCATCAAGTTAGTTGCTAAGGGGCTAGGCTGGCAGAGAAGCCTAAGGATCTTAATACATTACCCAGATTTCTGAAAGATGTTCCACGCCTAAAATTTCTGGACATCTCACTTGATTATTCAGCAGACATGGAGAATTTTGAGACAGGGCCTCTTTTCCTCTCAAGTAAGACATTTCAGAGAGAAATATCTCACAGGAAGAAATGCCACGACCTTCCAAGTCTGTAAATTCACATCAGGATTGATTTAATAGCTTCATGGCTGCAGCTCTTGCCTTTTCTTTATTTGCAAACTTCATGCTGTTCCAACTACAATTACATATTGAACAGCAACAGCCACCAAATCGGAATCTTTGGCTATCCAGGAGGAAAAGGACCAGTTACAGCAAAGTTTTGAACATATTTTTTCTAGGATGTTCATGCATCGATGACATCTAAGACTGTGCAAACCAAAATGTCTTCAGAAAGAGATTAAGGAGCTATAGTAACCACTGCACAAATAGTAGTTACTGGGCGGCTCCAGTGCAAAATAACCTCACAACTCTGTCCTCACATAACATGAGTGCACAGGCCAAGGTTTCTTCATCAGTCCAAAAGACAAAAACGGGAAGGAAAAATCCACTTCTGTAAAACATGCACTTGCAACTACAATTCAAGTGACAAGAGGTCATTGTCGCATGGAAACATAAAACCACTTAATTTACCAGTGAATCTTTTCACAGATTGATAATCTGTTCTCTTTTCTGTAAAACACATGGATTTCATTTGCTGTTGGGAAAACGACCAAATGGAAAATTTTTTTCTTTAAAGACCTGGGAGTACGTTGGGTTTATTATAATACCAAGATGACTGATATGTGACTACTACCCTGAAAGTCCAAGTTATGTTTAAAAAAAAAAAAAAAAGAATTCTTCTCTAAATGAAAAACAAATTAGGTATCAGATTATTTTTTTTTGCAACATCCAAAAAAAAAAGGCGCCTCACATAAGCTGGGATCCAAGACTTAGAGGTTTTTCTAGCTATTTTGCTAACTTGTGTTGTGATCTTGGACATGTATTTTTGTATATTCCTAGTTATCTGCTAAATTGAACATAAAATTACTTTGAGAATCTCAGACAGTACTGCTATATACAAATCTTAATGATTCTGCATCCATTCAAGAAAGATTTGGGTGTTTTCTTACAGGTAGTACTGAAAATTTAACTGAGTACTTTTGATTTCAAAATAATGCAGGAAGTGCACTATGAATTTCAGAAGTACTAAAGATTTTAAAAATTCTTTAAAACATTTAAGAAAAGTGATTTTGAACAGTTTATAAACAACATAACTGCACAGCCTCCTGACATCTCACCCATGTTGGAAAGTAACTAAAATTAAACACATAAAAATTAAAAACAAAACCAAAAACTCACACAATTAAAAAAAAAAATCTGACATTAACGACTTTGCCCGAAAACCTTCTGCTAAGCCAAGTCTACTTGGAACTCCCACCACTACAGAGGATTTTTAAGCCGATCGACTATTTCTAATCATAAATATAATTGCACAGTAAAGTACAGCCTACATAAATTAGTCTGAAACTAGGATAAGCAATCAAATGGACACTGTAATTTACAGTGATGCAGAACAATTACTTGAGGAGTTCGTATCAACAGATTATCTTAGTAGCGAACAGAGGAGACCCTCTGTTGCAGATTCGTAATAGCAGGTTTCACATTCAGTTGTTAATATTAATTTATCTGTGATTTCAACAACATCAGGCAGTAGTATGGGTCATTACAATTTTTACTAAAGCAATGGGTTGCTTCTGTTCACCCCCCATTACAACTTTGCTTCTCCAAAGTGCCAAACACATTCTTTTCCTTCTGACTGCCAGGGAAGTTGAGACTTGCCTACATACTACAGCAAGAGGATTTTTTACGTACGAATCTGTTTTTCTTCCCTCATAATCCAAACACTCATTTTGTTTACCTACTGTAAGTTTTTAAGGTATGACATTGTAATTAGTATTTAAGCACAGTACTTACGGTTGGCATAATTTTACCAGGTCCTGATCAGTGGTGTTTGGAGGCAGTGCTCTGATGTAAAGGTTTGTTTTACTTAATTGATCCCATCCTGAGTTGCTGCTGCTACTACTGTTGTTATTACTGCTGGTGGTGCTGGGACTAGGAGGAGCCATTGGGTGGGCTGGCACAATGGACTGCTGCAAAGGAAAAAGCACGTTAGCGTAAGCTACAGATCGAAATCGCAGCATGCACATTATCTCAGTCCACAGTAGCCTGTTTACCATTTGGAGCGCTGTGTTAAATCTGTATGTAATTACTCATATATTTTAAATACACCTGCTTTCACGCCACGTTTGGGAAAGGATTCGCAGGCACATTCTAATATACCCAACCACCATCTGAAGCACGCTCAATGCATGACACAGGCTCAAATTATATGTAACATCTGCTGAATATTACTCATAGGATTTTATCACTCTTCATTGAGGCATCTGATGTGAAAATGAAATAAGAGATATTGTTCCTCTACGTTCCAGCAGGTATAAGCTAAGTTTACATCACTATGACTATTTCCCATGTCATAAATGAATTATTGTGGCAGACACAAAGACCAGGCTATTTCCTTAACCTATCCAGAAATATAAAAATTAGAAGCCTCTTTTGTATTTCCTCTGGCTTTTAGTACTTCACACAATATTGTTTTCTTAAAGACAGAGAGGGAGCACAGACACATTAAGGACCAGACTTTAAATTAACTGTGTGCCTCGGCAGAACTTTCATACTGCCACTGATCTCGGTATTTGTCGATTATTTCGAGTGTCAAGAAAAAGATTCCGTATAGTGGCAAAAAGATTCAAGTTTCAAAAGGAGATACGCACATAGTCCTTAAGGTACCTAATGCTATTGTTCTTAACAACCAGACCCTCGCGGAACATAAAAACATCCTAGAGAAACCCTGCAAGTAGAGCAGTCTGATCATTTGCATTAACGACAGTATGGGAAGACACTGTATACAGAAAGCATTATACAAACGGGTCTGCAGAGTTGTAAGAGAGGAATACTTTAACAAGTATGCTAGAGAACTAAAGTTGCCAGCAAAAGTCTTGTGACTACAAGGTTTTCACCGACCAAAAGAATTGGCTGCATGCAGCCCCTTTCCCGCAAAAGCCTGTGCCCTCCAGGTCTCAAGAAGCTCATAGCAAAGAACTGCCCTGCGAACTGCAGAAGAAAGGCACAGTACGGGTGTGGGGGGGCGAATAAAGTGGAATATAAAGTGACATGTTAGTGTAGACTCACTTGTTCCTGCCCCGGTGCCACCCTCTTCTTTGGACTAGCACAAACAGTTGTGTAGCCACAGCCTGAACCAAAAAAAAATTATCTTCCCTGATCTGGTTCACCACATGTGGTTTCGTGCTACGCAAAAGCTTTGGCTGTCACAAGGCAGGGAACAGGAATGGGGACGCAGAGGGGAGGGCATTACAGTTTACCTCGTTTTAAAGCATCCTTGAAACTACAGCCTTAACATGCAAGAAAAATTAAACTATTTTGGAGATAACCTCTGGAAATTGGAATGAAATTGTGAGTGAGAGAAAAGTACAAAGGCATGCCTTATATCAGATATTTATGACAATTATGGGTTTCTTTTTTGTGTTTCCCTAGGAAGGTTTTGAAATCTTCCAATCCGGCATATTGCAAAGTTTATTATGGAGCAGTAATAGCCTGGAACAGCTATAAAATCAACATTGCTATGTAGAAACATTGTCATTGTCTAATCTAATTGAACTGAAAATCACCAAAAAGAATGAAATATAGTCCTGACCATATAACATTTCAAAACAATATCAGTATTTCATTGCCACAGGGTTGGAGGGTTTTTTGTTTGTTTGTTTTTAAATAAAGATTTTTAGAAACATTGAATCTCTTCCAAAAGATTTATACTTGGAGTTGAAGCGCTGATCTAGAATTTCTTCCAGGCATGATTTAAAACGGGAAAAAGATTAAACCCTCCCTCCAAGTTTGTAATGGAAACACTGACGGATTTTAACTATAGCAGCGCAAGTTGAGCTGTCAGACCGTTCTGCTTCCAGTAACACCAGGCAATTATTTTTAGGGTTACAAGCAATGCAGAATGACAGAGCAACTAGTTTCAAAACATTTTCATAACAAACTGAGCAAACTTAGTCTGGCACGGTGCTATTCTGCTCTTCAAAAAGCCTTTGGCGGAGTTCTCAAAATGCACAACTGCTCTGTTCAAGGTTTCAAAACGTACACATCCCTCGTGCATGCACGTACAGCTGCCATAAAAGTCAACATACACAGACTTCATCTTAGCTGGTAATTACTATGGGAGGCTAAGAGCCTCTATTCTGTTTTTCAGTATCTTTGGTTTGGTTTTGCTTTTTCTTCTTACAATATTTTCCCCTTAGAAATCTTTGTTTTTCTACATTATGAAGAATTGGAGTTCTGTAAAATCTTGCCACCAGCTGGCCAAAGGCAGGAGAGAAGACGTGTGTATGTGTGTAGAGAGAGCAGGAATCCTGCACTCTGCCTTCCTGTAAAACATAAACACTTCATTCAGAGAAACTTAAACTTTTATTTAAACATGAAGGTGCTCTAGTGCTACTGGTCACATCCAAATACGATGGGAATGTAAGCGTGATTACTGTCATCTTGCTAAGTTTACAGACAAAAGGTTTTCCACTGCTTCCACAGAAGCTCATACCTTTACCAGCCTGAAAGGCTTTACAAAACACAGATGCTGGGCATGCTGCAGCTCTCAAACCCTGCAACCCAGTGCCACACAGACAACCACTAACGGGCCAATGACATCTTAAAGCCATGCAACCGAGACATTTTTTACATTAAAACTTAATTTTAAAATCGGAATCATTCTTTCCACTCTGTCCTCATCGACAACTACTTGTAAAAACTAAGTGACAGAGGTCCCTCTTTTGTTCAAAGGGGCTTTTCTTCTCCAGCTGCAGTGGCTGCAGAAGGCTCGGCGGTGGTGCAGAGCCTCGCTGCTGTAGCTGTGCTGGCAGAGCCTCCCACGCTGACCGCACATGCCAAGAGAAAGAGTTTTTCTGCTGGCGTAGTTGCATCACCTCCCCAAACGACATAAGCTAAGCTGATAAAAGTTCTCTTCTGCCGGCACAGCTGCATCCACGCCTGGGGTTTTGCCAATGTATCGATGTCAGCGAGGATGTATGACTTTTTTTTCCACACCCCTGGCTGATACAGTGCTCGCTGGCAAGACATTCTGCAGTGGAGACCTGGCCAAAGTTTGGGGTTGTTTGTTTAGAAACAGTTTTCATGAACATTAACTGAAAGCTTTTCATAAAACCAGAAATGAATTTTGAAAAGTTTTGGTTTACAAACTGTAGTCTCTGCTGCAAATTCATATCAAAAGCTGTTCTTAAGATTTTATCATATGGACTTCACAACAGTTTCCAAGAATGTAACATACATAAAACCACATTCATTAATTTTTCTTTTTAATCATTGCATCTTAAATTAAAACACTGTACACAAGTAGAGGACGAATAAGTCTAAGTAACAGACCATTATTTCTTGTGACAATATTCTTGTTCACGAGAAATGTAACTTTCACACTGGTTTGCCATTTCCTCCTCAGTCTTCACTCCCAAAGGTCATTAGCATCGTTCTTTCTCCACAGCAGTTTCCCTGCTTTTATCTTCAACAAACACCTAAGCCAAAGAGGCCAGTGACAGAATAATCATCCTATATGCTGTATGATCACCCCATCCTATCCTGTGGCCAGCTGCGAGGGGCTCCCAACACCCTCGCCTGATCTCCGAGGGACGTTCCCTCCAGCCCTCCACAGTCCGACCACAGCAGTGGGAAAACCACAGGTACTCATGAGGGAAAGGAAAAGCTCAGTCATGGAGTAGGCCCCGTGGAGTGCCTTAAACCAAGGAAAACCATCTGCCTGTGTTTTCTTTTTGATATAAAACCCAAACAGGAATAGTCACAAGTATTGAAAAACAACTAGAGAATATATGCATCTTTATACAAACCACTCCTGTCTTTCTTATAAACCGCTCCATGCTTAAGGACTGGAAATGAGTCAGAGCAGGATTTTGCCTGCCAAGGAGGAGAAGAAGCTCTTCGCTGTCAACAGGAAAAAACCACACAAAAAAACACCCAACCAAAACAACGTGGAACAACCCTGAGAAATTCCTTTGACCCGGGAGTTGAGAGATACTGATCCTTGCTGCCTTCAGACTGCAAAAGTCCAAGGAAACTCCAACAAGCAGAAGATAACTTAGATAACGTCTGTCCCAAACCAGAGCCTGATTATTATGGTAGCAAACCATTTAAGTCTCTAACTTTGTGATATAAAAGCATGTCTAAGGAGTTACATAACATGCTAGCGTTTAATTATGAGTTCCTTCACTCAGCTAAAATTCCTGATGGGAAAACTACCGGGACTTTTTAACAACAGCGTTAGTTCTCACACATATACTCCAAATTCAAACCATAAATTACAGCATACATGAACTATCTGATTTAGCCTGAAATGCTACTTGGATCATCTCATAGTTTCAAAATCGTGTTGCTGGCGTTTGCCTAGCTTTGTTCAGGTGATTAAGCGTCAAGTCCGTGCTTACCCTGCCTGACTTTGCCTAACCTCCCCCATTTCACTAAACAGTGTTTTGAAACAGCACCTCCAGTAACTTGCATTGATATAGAAGTTACCACATATTTTTGTAGATGTGTGCAACAGCGATAAAAAGTATTCAATTACCTGAATCTGGAAAATGTCTGGATTAAATTGGGGGTTGATTTTTTATTTATTTATTAATCTACTTAACACAGAGCTTTACATGTTCAATGAAAGCAAGGGCTCAGGAAAAAGAGAAGATGCCACATCTAGTGAAGCAAGACACTGCCACACTTAGTGCACAACCTCAGAAACAGGAGGTTGGTTGGAATAAAATCATGTCCTGCACAGAAAGAACTCCAAATGTTTAACAGAAATGACTGTTCACTGATGAAGACAGTTGCTTTATCACCATCCTTTAGATAAGGAAACATTAAACCTTGACCACTTAGTCTAAGCCTGCAAACCGACAGCTGTAGTAGAGATGCCATTTTGAGTGTCCTGCACTGTTCATGTCATGGTTTCCATCATCGTGTCTGAAATGTTATGGCAAGCAAAACTGATTTCCTGGAG